TATAAAAAAATTTTGGAGGCAAAACCATATAAAAATTTAACTGTAGAAAAAGTGGAATGTAGGAATCATCTTTTACGAAATCTTTGTAATAAATTAAAAGATATGACTGTGAAAGCACAATCAGGTAAGCTTGAATTTCGCAAAATGTTGAGTGGTAATATACTTAGAATTCGTCGGGGTATCGTATCTGCTATAATGTATCGTAAGACGAATGGTCATTCTGTTGCAGAGCTTAGACAAGATATAATGAATAGTATCAATCATGTTTTTGGGCATCATGAAGAGTGTGCTTCATATTTTTGTGTCAAAAATAAAACAGACACTGCAGATTAAATAGAAAAAATCAAATCGACGGATCAAGAGTTTTATGCCAATGTAATGAGACATATTAGAAACTTGGCAAGACACAGTGGTAGTTTGTTACAAGATGTGGACAGCAATATAGTAGAGTCATACAATGCTATCATTGCAAAAGTAATCGGTGGAAAACGTATAAACTTTGCAATGAATCGTTCTTATTCTGGCCGATGCATGCTAGCAGCCGTAACCAAAAACACAAGTCGCCCGCTTTATTCTCTGCATAAGGTATTATACCATAAAAGTCCATCAAAACGAGAATTTTTAAGTGCTGTAGAATTAAAAAGAAAGAAAAAACAAAATCTTCAAAATATTGCCAGAACAAAAAATAAAAGGTTTAAAAAACAACTTTTTAAAAACATTGGTCCAGATTTATCATATGGAGAAAATGCTGTTAGACCCGATATGGATCATTTAGAATTTAATCGTCAAAAAGAAGATATTTTAAATGAAATGAAAGAAATAGCATCAAAAAGAGACGATATTCAAATACAAACTATCGAACAATATGAAAATGTACAGTGGAATGAAGTACGAAGAAAGCTTTTAACGGCTTCTAATTTCGGACGTATCATCTCTCGACGACCATATACTGGCTGTGAAAATATTGTCAAGAGTCTTTTATATAACACACAAATAATGGCAGAGTCATTAGATTATGGTCGTGAGAATGAGGTTGTTGCTAAAAGAGAACTTGAAAAAATTTTGAACAAGCCTATACGAGACTGTGGTATTTTTATAGATGCAGAGCATTTCTTTTTAGGAGCAACTCCAGATGGTTTACTGGATGACGATGGACTGGTTGAAATAAAATGTCCTTACTCTGCTGCTAATATGACTCCCGACGAAGGCATATTAAATAAAAAAATTAATTTTTGGTCTGTAAATAAAGATGGGAGTATTGGAAGTTATAAAATAAAACATAAGTACCATTATCAAGTTCAAGGACAAATGAAAATTGCACAAAAAAAGTTTTGTGTATTTGCTGTGTGGACTCCAAAAGGAATAAAAACGGAAACAATCTTTTTTGATGAACAATTTTGGGAAGAACAAATGTTTCCAAAATTACAAACATTTTTTTATGATTGTCTACTACCTGAGATCGTGGACCCAAGGTATCCAGGAAGACCAATTAGAAATCCGCAATCTATTATTGATGCTCAACAAGAGCAAAAAAAAACTAGAATCGTCGTACATAGGCCATAGAATCTATACAATAGCATTAAAATATAATGAATATTTTATTCTTGTGTAATTATTATAAAGTTGTAAATTGTTTGGTACCTATACTTATATAATATCATCAATATATCATTATAAACTTAGTATAATACTATAATATAACTAAAAAACTATTATTTTTTTCCCGTATACAGTATACATAATAAGTGCATGATTTTCTAAATGTTTTAAACGCGGAACGGCCGAAGCTACAAGTTCTCGATGGTTGTCGGTAAATATAAAAAAAAAGCCGAGTGGCTATTATTGTTATTTGTTATCATTACGTACGGAAACAATTATGAACGGGAGTTTTCCAAGAAGACATCACGTAACCGCCGCGAGCAACGTCTGACTAGTATCTACGGCTTGGTTGGGTGGGGGGAGTAGGCAGTGATATAATATTGTTGTATGTGGGTTACTACTACTAATGATCATTTACGACTAATACAACGACAAGGCTAATTGCCAAATGTATAAGAAGTTGCCTATAAAATGTTCCTTAGAATTCGGTAGTATGGAGGACCCTTAAGGGGATTGGAAGCGGCGATTTATTAAGGGGTTGTGTATAGGCAATTCCATCATTTTTATTCGCGTTTCGCTGTGTATGTGTTAGCACTTAAAGTAGTAAATTATCATTAGTGTGTGTGACTTCGTTCAGGATTACTCGTACAACGTCAATACTATGGCAAACGATCGATTGGATTTTGGGGAAAAAAATCAAAAAAGTGGGAAAGTTGATCTAAAGTAGACTTGACGAAGAATCCAAAACTGTTTTTAGATTCCTTATCGCATCAATAGATCGATTGGTACGTTGGAACCTAACCTGCACGTGTGTTAGACAGAGAAAGGAAAACGCCGCTTCCAATCCCCTTAAATCGTAGTCACTAATAAAAATAAAAGATAGTTAATTGTGAATTTAATTATTGGGTTTGACCATATTGAACAATAGATAGTATGAGCTAAGGTTTATATTTTTTCGTGGTGGTACATATGTAATTAAAACTTGTGCATAATTAATTTTACCAATTATTGCATAGTATACCGATTACTGTTTGCTTATGTAACTTACCCGGCTAGTGTCTATCTGCTTTCCACACTCATTGTTTTATACTTTATAGTTATTAATTATTATTACTTAAGTATTACTCACTACTTTTTGGCTTTCAAATTTCAAAATTTGCATATTAAATATTAATTATTGATTTTCAATTTTTCATATCATTAATTATTGGTGTTCCCTACTCAATTTACTGTTATAGCGTTATATCTAGAGTCTAATATGTAGTTTTCTTATTAGCTTAGTAATAAAATAACTCTCAAGTTTGAGTTTTGTAATGATTATACATACATTTTTGCTTGATCAGGAGTATATACATAATGTATTATATTAATTGTTGAGATATTATTTTCATTTCTAAACAAAATGGACCTACTGTTTTTTTAAATATTCAATACATTGTTATTCCATTAAATAAAATCGTCAAACATGTATTTGGTAAGTCAATATTTTCATTAATGACGTATTTGAGTATTTTTAATTAATTTAAATGATTTTTAGAAATATTATAAATTATAATTTGTAATGTTTTGATATTTTTGTTTAGAAAATATTGAATTTCAATTCCAAACATTTACCATTTGATTTAAGGAATAAATTAAAAGTACACAAATACATATAATGTACCTACAATAATAAATCATGTGACTAATTGTGTTGGGCCTGGTCCAAAGGCGCAAACCATGGGGGGCTAACTGGGCTGAGCCAGCCTAAAGTCATATTTGGCCTCCCAATTTATTAGTGCCCAGCACTCTATTCAAAATTTAATAATTTTGAAATTTGATTAGTGTACTTTTTTTTCTAGTATTCATATAATTCATATACCTATTTGCATTTATATAAAAATTAAAGATTAAAAAGTAACCATAATTAAAATAGCCAATTGGTAGATATTCAAAAATATTCGCAATTTAGAGATTTTACCATGATTTAAGGGGCTGTCACATGTGGCGATTTTATTCGCCACGACTAGTGGCAGCGACTTCTCGCCACATCAAGTCGCCGCGAGTAGGTTGTCACACACGAAGTTATACAAGATAGCGAGTAGCGAGTAGTCAGTCGCAAAAATGTCGTCAATCGCATCACGTCGTAACATTTTAAAACGAATAATTCGCCTTACGTGTGCAGAATTAGCAGAACAATTAATTGTTGATATACAAAATACGCGAAAGAGGAAGTGGGTTCGTGATTGGATTCGTAAAAGAGAACAATTTGGGGCCTCTGCCTTACTTTTGAAGGAATTGGCTGAAGAGGATCATTCTGCTTACAGAAATATTATGCGCATATCACAGACGAAGTTTGATGAACTTCTTCAGATGGTTAGCCCAGCAATTACCAAAATAAATACCCCAATGAGAAATGCAATTCCAAGTAACACAAAACTTGAAATAACACTACGTTACTTAGCGAGTGGTGACAGCCTGATGACTTTGGAGTATTTATTCAGAGTTCCTCACAATACAATATCTACGTTTTTACCTGAAGTATTGATAGCAATTTACAATACTTTGTCAACATTCATCAAGGTAAGTTAAATAATTTAATTAATTTATAATAGTTTTTAATTTATTAGTCTTCGCTATACCTAATGCATAAAAATTAAAAACGTAACAAAGAAAAACGTGATAAATAAATACTTTTACAAATCGTATATTTTCAAACGTAAAAAAACAACACACTTTTTATTGTATGTATTTATACAATATACATATTATTAAATAACTGCAACGTAATTGTGCATAAAAATCTTTTATAGAAAACAAAAAAAATTATATCGTATATTTTCAAACTTAAAAAATCAACACACTTTTTATTGTATGTATTTATACAATATACATATTATTAAATGACTACCACGTACTCGTGTATTAAAACCTTTTATAGAAAACAAAAAAAAATTATTTCTCTTATAGAATTTATATATAATTTAATTATTAGAACATATGTTTAAAATTGCTTGTTGGATCGGGTCCAGCATTGTGTTTTCTGATTGTATAGTTGACTGAAATGTATTGCACTGAGGGAGTTCTTGGTATTCTCCGGTATGAATTATGGGGGATGAATGAGATGAAGAAGAGAAAGATGTTTGACTAAGGTTTGATGATCTGCCAGATGAGGTTGGAATGGAGAATGGGTATTCAGTTTGGTTATTTTGAGAATCAATAATTTTCAGTCTTTCTTGTGTAATTAAACTTAGAATTTTTTCTTGAAGTGTTATAAAACTTCTTAATGGTAGCTGTTTAAGTTGAGCTGAAATATGCATTCCAAAACGATCGTATTCATCATCGGTTTCATTTGTCATTAATGCAATTTCATGAAGTTTGTTAACCGACTGCTCCAAGTTCGAGGACTTGTTACATTTCTTCTTCTTTTTCGGAGGAGGTAATGAGGCCATACTATCGGTATATGAAGAGGCAAGTGGCAAATTCGTGACTTGTTCAACTGGTTTTTCAGATATTACAAAAACGTTTTCATCTTCATCTGAATCATTGCACTTTTCCAAATCTTGGTTGATCAATGAAATGTCCTGTTAATAAAACATTTTAATTGATATCAAGGTATACAATGTTTTACAATATTATGATCTTAATATAGTTGTAGTGTGTTAGTATAGTATCTCTCCCTCATGATTCACCTTTCAGTGTATTTTTTGTGTGCAGTTTGAACTTTTTTATTTTAGCTACTGATAGCAATACTCCACTAACTGTTAGTTGGTTAATTACAAATTAATTATACAATAATTACAAGAAACATTTTTATAAGTAGTTTCACAAATGTGTTTAGGTTCCTGATACTATAGAAGAGTGGCGATCTATCCAGAAATCATTTGAAACAAAGTGGAACTTTCCCAATTGCTGTGGGGCTCTTGATGGAAAGCATATTGCCATCATTCGCCCTCCAAACAGTACATCCACATTTTACAATTACAAGGGATTCTACAGTATCGTTTTGTTTGCAATGGTAGATGCCGATTACTGCTTCAGATACATCGATGTAGGAAGTGATGGAAGAGCTTCAGATAGTACAATATTCAAAGTTTCTACTTTGAATATTGCACTTGAAAAAAATTTGCTCAATTGGCAGGAGGGTGGTCTTTGTGTAGGAGATGATGCTTTCCCACTTCGAACAAACATATTGAAGCCTTTTAGTCACAGACATTTGTCATTGGAAGAAAAAATTTTTAATTATCGCTTGTCTAGAGCTCGGCG